CAAGACCTTCCTTTATTCGCCATAAAACTACAGACACAATGACTCCGACTTCCTCAAAAGGTTCATCTTCAAGGCATCATCTTCAGCGGCCATCTGCTCACACGCGCTCCCAGTCATACCTCGACGTTACCATCATTGCACTTAAAGCTCTAGCAGAAGACACGACCATCAGGGTCACCAACCGCTGATAAAGGAGAGATGGTGTTGGTTATCATGAACACTGGACGATTTCAGGAACAAAATGATCAATACTACTTAAGACCAGATTACCTACTAACCTCTCACAAACTAACCAAGTGGACAACACCTTACTTCAAAACTTTTCTTCAAAGGACTCGCCGCATTCTGAGGGACTCAGGAACAAGGGAAGAAACTTCTGCACATCGTACCCAGCACCCCAGGGAACTGCCAGAATGTACGGCTGCCAAAACTCATAAAGCCTGGTGTCCCATTGGAGGCCCATATCTTCGGGGAAATAGGTAGTGCTCCCCACAACACTCTCAGGAAATTCTCGCAAAATAACCTCTCTAAACTCTTGGGCACTATCAGTCAGACATCTCAAACACTCGGGTGATCTAGCTCCAACACTCCACTCATGTATTTAATCTTACCTATTTTTAAATACACAACGTTTTAGCCTCAAAACTGTACGGGGGAGTTTGTTCCCTCTTCCACAAACTCTATTACCCAAACCAGGCTTTCCCTATATCCTTCATGGTATCTGAAATTTTTCAACTTTAAACCCATTGCTACGAGTTTGTCTAGGCTAGATAATTTAGCACGTTATCTTACATCCCTTTTATTTATTCCTTCTTCCATTTATACACCTCAATCATATCCCCCCTAAATTCTACCGTTTTTGAGATGTGCAGATTCAGGGTCCCTCAGTTCTACCCTCATAGGGAGATTTCTGATACATGGGATGAACTTGGTCATCCTCCTTTGTATGTTTTCCAGGCATTTATAATCCATTCTGTAATACGGTGCCCAAAATGGTTGCAGCATAATCTATATTGAGGTTCTAACCAAGGATATATAGAGTTGAAGGAACAACCTGAGTACTCCTATTATTTATGCTTCTTTGTGTGGAAAGCCAAGAATTCTGTAGCTTTTATTGCGAAACACTTATGCCACTGTTGTCTTGGTTTCAGATTACTGGCTATACCCAGAATCCTTAAATCTTTTTCGCAATCCGTAATCTTAAGATGCATTATTTAGTTTATATCGTGGATGGTTATTTTCCTGTCCAATCCAACATTTAGAACTTTCCATTTGTCTATATTAAACTGCATCTGCCAGTTCTTCGATCACTGCATCAGTCTATTCAAATCTTCCTGTAGTGCTCTAATGTCCTCGTCAGAATGAATTCGACGGCCTATTTTGGTGTCATCGGCAAACTTGCTTATGTCGCTCTTTATGCCCTCATCAATGTCGTTTATGTAGATTGTGAACAACAGGGGGCCCAACACTGACCCCTGTGGAACACCGCTCGTGACGCTTCCCCACTCTGATTTCTCCCCATTTATGCAAACTCTCTGCTGCCTATTTGTCAACCATGCCTCTATCCAGGAAAAAATTTCTCCTCCTATTCCATGTGCTTTAATTTTTCTCAATAGTCTCTGATGTGGGACCCTGTCAAAACCCTTACTGAAATCCATATACACAATAGCATATTCATTACCATGATCTACCTCCTCAAATACCTTAGTGAAAAAAAAAATTCGTAAGGCAGGAACGCCCCTTTGTAATACCATGCTGAGATTCGTTGATTAATTTGTGCTTTTCAAGATGGCTACGAACTGCCTCTGCAATTATTGATTCCACAAATTTTCCCACTATGGAGGTTAGGCTTATTGGTCTATAGTTCGAAGCTAAGGACCTGTCACCTGCTTTGAAAATAGGTATCACATTTGCCATTTTCCACTTATCTGGCACCATGCCAGTTGTAGTGATATGTTGAAAAGATTAGCCAGAGGTTTGCTAAGCTCCTCTTTACATTCCTTTAGAACCCTTGCATACAGTTCATTCAGGGCCTGGGGATTTGTTAAGTTTTAATTTATCAATTTGCCTAAGGACCATGTCACTTGTGACCCTAATCGTGCATAGTTTATCATCATCCTGTTCTACATAATTTATTTCTGGAATATCGCTAGTATCTTCCTGAGTAAAAACTGAGAGGAAGTATGTGTTAAAAATTCTACACATTTCCTTATCACTGTCTGTGAGCTGACCTGAGTAACCTTTGAGTGGGCCTATCTTGTCCCTGATCTTACTTCTGTATACCTGAAAGAATCCTTTTGGGTTAGTCTTCGATTTTCTTGCAACTTTAACCTCATAATCTCTTTTTGCTTTTCTTATTCCCTTTTTTATTTCTCTTTTTAACAGAATATATTGATTTCTTAATTGCACCTCTCCTCTTTCGATTTGCCTATATATGCCTCTCTTTTGACCAATGAGATGTTTTAATCTATTGTTCATCCATTTAGGATCATTTTTGCTTGATCTGATTTCCCTATTTGGAACATAAGTTGTCTGAGTAGCTAGAACTATGCCCTGGAAAACGTCATATCGGCAATCATCACCACCTACCTGACCCATAGTCAGGTCATTCCAGTTCAGCCCACCCAAGTAATTTTTCAGTCCTATGAAATCAGCCAAGTGGAAGTCAGGGACAGAGACTTGATTGCCATTATTAGGGGAATTCCATGATATATTAAAACTGAGTGATTTGTGATCACTTTCCCCAAGCTCATCATTAACCTCAAGATTATTAATTAGTGTTTCCCTGCTGGCAAGAACCAAGTCAAGCAGGTTATTTCCTCTAGTTGGCTCTGTCACAAACTGAATCGTATCAAGAAAGTCACTTGATTCTAAATTTCCTGTCAAATTGCTCCAGTCAATCTGTCTGTAGTTGAAATCTCCCATTATCACAACATTTTCATATTACCTGGAGAGTTTACCTGGAGAGAGTTCCGGGGGTCAACGCCCCCGCGGCCCGGTCTGTAACCAGGCTTCCTGGTGGATCAGAGCCTGATCAACCAGGCTGTTACTGCTGGCTGCACGCAATCCAACGTACGAGCCACAGCCCGGCTGTAGCTCGTTGTTACTATAATTTGGCAAACTAAACGATTTTGCAAACTACATGTAAATAAATTCCTAGTGTGGAAAATATTTTAATTTTCCGAAACTATAGTTCCTAATAGGTGTTTAATGTGTCGATATGGGTCAAAAATGTATTTGAAAATAGGATAGAACCAGGAGTTCCCTTTGTGCATGCGCGGATGTGCGGGGGTAGAGGTCGACTCGGGGCATGGGGGAGGCGGCAGTGTTTTGAATGGGTTTAAGAGGCTGTGAAAGCATGGAACCAGGAAATTGGCGTTCACGGCGGCCTAAGGATTAATATAGGCCTCATTTCATAATAGGAAGTGTCGTAACTGTTCCTGGTGGAGAGTGAGGGAACGTGATTTATGGGACCACCGTAATAGAGTGGTAAAATGAGTGAATAAGGGTAGGACCGGGTGACTGGCGCGTCGCCATGGACTGTGTCCCGGGCAAAATTACCCTTGGTTTAATCATCACTCATCGGTCTCAGATCTTAATGAGTGATCTCTAATGTGTATAATAATTATGAGACATTAAATCGTCTTGTGAATTGTAATGTAATTAATGATAATAACGCTAAGTTAAGAGAATGCGTGAAGTGAAATAAGTCGCTTTGCTCCGAGTGAACACGCTAGACCACGTTGTTCCCGTCACGAGGAAAGTGAAGTTCATTGAGTCACGACTTCTAAACCGGGACAAACCAGCGGATACCTCGTCCTGCTGGAATAAGAACCGTGTCGGTGTAGCAGGACATCGAAATGAGATGGTGAATGGAGGAAATAAGGAGTATCAATCACCCATAGTTAAGTAACTCTTCTAGTTATAGCAGACTGATACTGGCCAGTTAGGTATGTTGTAATTGGATAGGTTATGGGTGATCCAGCTACATCAAGTGACCACCAGAGAATATCTGGTAAGTGGTGGGATTATATACGAATGTTTTTCTTTGATGGATATATCCATGTGTAACCTACCCCCCCCCCTCTTCATTCAGTTACACTAATATAATCTATACAGTCCACATTTAATTAGTAGCGCCGTACTTGTGGGTGCTACCCAATTTATACTGGTCTCGGATAGATATGGATAAGACTGTGAGGGTCGAGGGGCCACCTGCAGTGACCAGAGGTGGTTAAGTTTTCTCACATGTCTACACGGGGTGACTACGGTAAACAATATAGTTGTTGTCTCCCAAGGAGATTACTCGTATGCATGTAATGTTGAGGTATGTACAAGTAATCACCCCTATAAAATTTTCCACACCTAGAGCCATAATAGTTCTTATTGTAACATATGATGGAAACCCTGTTGCCAACAAAACTTAATGTATTCGCTGTTACAGGAATAGAGATAAGTTCACATGTTTCATCTGAAGTCTGTAAAAACCTATTGCATCATTCTGAAGGCTCCTCGCTAGAGTATGCAACAAAATATAGGTGTTCCAAGTTAATGATGACGTTTGTATACTATTACACATATACTCAAGTTACAATTTTAGTTTGCTTCACAAGGAATTTAAAACAATTCTTAAGAGAGTTTTAAGCCAAAAGTTTAATTATATAATAGTATGACTTTAGCAAAAGTTTTCTTTTCTCATATACTAATACGTATAAGAAAAATATGCTCAGTATGTGTAACAAATCAAAAAAAAAAAAAAAAAACTTAGTGACTAACAAAAATTTTGAATCCATATAAAATGAATAGTTTGAGAGTCTGAGTTAGTTTTAAATAATGAATCTGAATTTAGCTTAAGAAAATTAAATACCCTTAATTTTTAAGAAAGCAACAATCGAAAAACACATTCCAGAACTTAACACATTAAGGTACAGGTATTACCCAAAGGTTTATACACCCTAAGTATTCATAGCATACCAGTTTTTACTAAAAGACACAGCTATATAAAAAAAATTAAACTATATGCGTTTAGGAGGTACCCATGCTTCAATTTTAGGCTTGGGGTGCTATATGGAACGTAGGCTTCTTCTGTGCCAGTTTTTATTCTCTGTATGTCCACTCAGCCATCCATAACTAGTTGGAGCAACCTCAGTTGGGAGTTTATCAGTGTTGTGGTGTAACCATCCAAACCTGTCTGCTGGTACCAAAGAGCCATCATAATCCATTCCATAATAACGTGGGTGATATATTACCCAACGGTCACGACCGAGTAGGAGTTGTTTATTTTCATAGTATTTGTTTCCAAGAGCATCCTCACCCACTAGGGTGCCATCTTTAAGGTCATCAACCCTATAGAGCTGATAAAGGGCGCCCCTGATGCCACCATGATTCCTGATGATCCTGACAGCCTTGACCAGTTTATCCAGAAAAAAAAGAGGCCTTACGAATTTCATCCCATAGAAGTTTAACGCACTCCCTATCACGATTTGGGGCCCTGTAAATCACACCCAAAATTAGTTTTTCACGGCCCTCGAGAAGCTGTAACCAAACAGATTCAGTGGCTGACGCTTCTAATTTTATATCTTGTCTAACACAACAATTTAAATTGTCTCTGACTACATCGTTACTCCACCACCCTTCCTGTTGACCCTGTCAGTGTGGAATAATTTATAGCCTTGTATGTGACATTCAGAAGGCATTTCTCTATCTTTCAGATTGAGCCAGGTCTCTGTTATAGCAATGATATCTATGTTTGTTGCACTTGCAATTAATCTTAGCTCATCTCTCTTATTTCTTACACTCCTGCTATTGGTATAATAGACCTTAAGGGATCTAGTCCCTTGCTGCCCTCTGCTGTCTCCCTTTGTTTGCTGACCTGATCTATTGTTTTTAGTTATAACTTCATGATGAATGTCTTTTATACATTTATTGTTTTCAACCCTAGTGTTGCAACCTGACTGTTTCCCACGCACACCCATACCTCTATCTTCTATCAGTTTAAAATCCTAGGCATTCCAGCAATGACCCTCTCGATTGAGCTTGCAAGAGCTACCACCCCTGCCCCAGAAAGATGTACCCCATCCCTTGCCTACATATCATGTTTGCCATAAAAGTTGTCCCAGTTGTCAATGAATGGGATTGCACGTTCCTTGCAGTATTTGTCTAGCCAGCAATTTACACCAATTACCCTAGACAACCATTCATTGCCCACTCCCCTTCTAGGCAAGATGCTACACATGATTGGGACCCCTCCCTTAGATTTAATTAAATCTATAGCTGACCTGTACTTATCTAGCAGCTCTTCTCTCCTACCCTTCCCAATATCATTTCCACCAGCACTGAGACAGATAATGGCTTGTTCCCATTACCTGACATGATATTATCCAACCTGTTGACTATGTCACTAACACCAGCTCCTGGGAAGCACACTATCTCTTACGTTTTTATTCCTATTACAGAAGGCACGGTCAATATATCTTACCTGTGATTCACCAACCACAAGTATGCACTTACCTCTATTTGCAGGGGAAGTAGTACCTTTACCCTCACTGGTCACTGAAGTACACTCATCCTGAAGAACAGAGAAGCGATTTCCTACCTTCAAATCTTCTCTCTTAACTTTCCTTATTTTGATGCTCTTCCCATTACTGGGAACTACTTGCCACTTGTAGCAGGTGCTGGACTGCACCTCACTGCTGGTAGCCGTTGCTACCTCCCCACCTACAGCCTCCTCACAGCGAGAGACAGACTGCACCTCGCTGTTGGTAGCCTCATTCCCCTCCACCATTCCAGCCACCTCACACTCGCTCCCAACCCCATTGAGGTAAACCTTCAACCTCCTAATTTCCTCTTGGAGAAGCAAGACTTCCTCCTTCAACTCTTCAACCTCAATTTTTAAAACACTGCAAAAGCAAGCCATGGCTTTGTAACCGTCCACACTAATCCACAAAGCAGCTCAGGGCCTGTGACCTCACATGACGACTGACCACTGCATATGTCTTTATATTTTCATTGTGTCGGTATTTTATACCATTTATTTCCATATTTATGCTTGTAGAGAGGTTGAATTACGGCTCCTGGGACCTGACACACAGCCACTGATCAACTGGTATATATAAAGCCCAATCTCTACAACATAAGAATGGATGAACACTGAAGTAGGCCTACTGTCCTATACTAAGCAAATGTGGGCCAATAGGCCCATAACTGTATGGAGTGTTCCTCCCTTGATGGTTCATCCTCACTACCCGAGCGATTTTGTTACCCCTTAGGTGGATTTCACCCTGTCTCAGGAGAGGATAAACCCTCCCGAGTTAAAAGTTGCTCGTGGCTTGGTTGGTAGCGTTATCCACTCACACACTGAGGGACCGGGATCGATCCCCGGCATGAGTAGAAACTTTGGGCATGTTTCCTTATACCTGTTGTCCGTGTTTTTTTTTTTTTTTTGGTGCATAGGTGTTAGTCGACTGTTCTGGATCGCATCCTGGGGGGACGAGAGAAAGACCAAAATGTAAATAAAAACAGTGTTCGTGGTAGTGACTTTTGGGGTTTATCTAAAACTAAGAAAAATAAGAACTGGAAATGCAGAAGGCCTAGGGGCCCAGCGGGGCAGGTCCAAGTTCCCCGGCTTAAGCCAATGCCCCAATTTCAGGTCAGGTCACATTGAAAGGGGGGAAACACGGAAACCGACCGGGTTCTAAAGCTTCGGGTCCAATCACACCCACCCCATCTACTGTTGGAAATAAAAACAAAAGAACAAAAAGAAAGGGGGAAAAACCTGCGCGGCCTGTTGGCCCATATAGGCGGTCCTTTAAATTCATCCCCTAAAAAAATTTGACTACCCAATTTTTCAAAGCTCCCCAAGAAATAAGCTGATGTGCAAGCCCCACCCCAAATCCAACCATCCCATCATGTATTTATCCAACCTAAATTTAAAAAATACCCAAAGCCCTAGCCTAATAACCCAATGGTAGACTTTTCCCACTATCTACTCCCCTATTTCCAAACCAATACTTCCTATGCCCTTTCTAAAATCTAAATTTATTTTATTTAAATCCATTACTGGGGTTTCTCTTGGAGAGATATTCTAAAGCCCTTGTTAAAAATCCCCTTTATTAATACCTTTTTTCCCATTATACACTTGTCGGGTTTCCCCCCTCATTCTTGTTAACAAGTGAATGTAACTTAAGAGTCTTCAAATCTTTTTCATGGGAAGATTTCTAATGTTGTTTTAAAATTAGTCACCCTACGTGAATGTTTTCTAACAATTTTGTCCTTCTTTTATATGGAGCCCAGAATGAATGCAAAATCTGGTGAGGCCTTACAAATGAAAAAAGCTCCTGGAGAGCGAAACGTTGCCCAATAAATGTCACTTAGTTGCATTGTGTCCCTTTTCTTTCATATTGTCGGTAATTCTACCAATTTATTACAATGTATAAAACTGCGTTGACCTTGGGCTTTTTTGCTTCACTTCTTGATTAAATCCCAGTAATTATTTGCCTTTTTACGTACGCGTAGGCATTGCTGTCTTGGTTTTTGGTTTTGCTTCCCTAACCCCCAAGCCTTTTCGCAATCTGTTGGTTAGTTTACATTTTTTTAATTATAAATGTAGGGGTTTGGGCACCCCGAGCTCGAACCTTGCATTTTTACATTAAATGCATCTGCACTTTTTGCCCAAGGTGGTTTGTTAAATCCCCCTGAATTTCCCCAAAAATCTACGTTTAAATCAATTATCCTCCCTATCTTCGTGTCATGGGATTTGCTATATCCTAGTAATTCCTTCACAAGATATTGATTATTTTTATAAAACAAAAAAGGGGCCCCAAGACGACCCTGTGGAACGCCACTTGTTACTGACCCCCACCGGATTTAACCCTTTATGGCCTCTTTGCTTCCTGTCTGTGAGCTGATTCGATCCCGAGGCCCCCTTCCCCCCACCCCAAGCTGCTACTTTTTTCAAAATTTTGGGGGAATCTATAATCCCTTACAAAAATTAAGTAAAAAATATCAAATTTTTATCGTGGTCAACAGCTCAAATTTTTATGAAGAAAGTAAAAAATTGTTAGAAAGCCCGGCCTTTTTTAATCCGGGCTGGTATCATAACAAGCTATGCTTATCGAGATGGCTTTCTTTAATCTCACTTTAAAAATTTTACTTGTAATTTGCCACAATTGAGGTCAGGCTTATTGGGCGGTAATTTGACGGTAACGACTTGTCCCCCCTTTTTTAAAAAAAGGAATTCATTTGCCATTTCCAATTTCAGACAGCACCTGTTTGAAGGAAAATTAAAAATATTAGTTAATGGTTCACAGCTTCCATTTTTCATTCCTTTAGCCCTTTTAAAAAACCTCTCAGGACCCCGGGGACTTTTTTTGCTTATCGGTCTATTGCTTCACAACCATTTTACTAGTGACTGTGATGTTAATAATTTACTTTTTCTGTTTTACTATAAAAATTATTTTCCGGAATATTTTAGTGTCTTCCCTTGTAAAAAACGAAGGGAAAAAAATTATTTTTAAAAGGACATTTCATTCTCTTTGTCGTAAATGCCCATGTTTTTTTAAAGGGGCCTATCTTATTTTGGATTTTGTTTATGCCCGGAAAAAAATTTTTGGGTTATTTTTTAGAATCCAGAAAACTTTAATTTCATGTCCCTTTTGCTTTTTTTTCCCCTTTTTAATGTCCTTTTAAATGTAATTTTTACTGATTTAAAGTAAACCCGCCCTTTGATACCCCTTTAAAATTCCTTTTTTTATGCCCTAGTAGAATTTCCCCCTATTACATCCTTTTTTGGGTTTTTTCCTTTGATTAATTTCCTTAAAGGGAAAATAAACGTTTTTTGGCACATGTAGTTTTTCAGAAAAATTCATATTGATAGCTTCTTCGTTACCCCTAACGTGAAAAATGTTCTCTAGCCCATGTAATTCAGGCGGAAAATTGGGGACTGTTACGGTTATCCCTACTATCATACTTCCTTTCAATTCAAACTGAATTGATTTGTGGTCGGGACCCATTTTCCTCTGAAACCTAAATTATTAACAGGGTTTTCATTGTTTGCCGAACTAAGTCAAGAGGTTTTTTCCCCTTTGTAGGTTCGTCAAAAAACGCTTAAAAAAAAACAATCCTGAAACTTCTAAGAAATCGTATGATTCAAATTCCAGTTAAGAAATTCCAATAAATATGATAAAGTTAAAGTCTCCTAGTTTTATACTTTTATCGGCCTTGGGGGCTAAAAATTTCCCCCCCTAGTAGTCCCCCTTTGGGTCCCTATCAAAATTTGGGGGAGGGTTATCACCCCAAAAATTAAATTTTTCATCCCCCTCTGAAAATTCTACCCAAACAGACTCTGTTTGTGTTTTTCAGACTTAATACCTGTTTTTATGCAACAGTTAAAGCGATCCGGACATACAATGCCCCCCCCCCCCTTCCCGTACTTCTATCTACTTGGAAATTT